ATGGTGATGAGAATCTTAATCTGTCAAGCCTTTGAAGTACACATGAGGCAACCCAAGGTCAACTTTGTAGAACGCTCCAAAGAGTATGGTAATATTTAGAAAGGACCCCTCAGAACCAAAGAGTATATGATCACTACGTTTAGTCAGAACCATAGTTATTGTGCTCATAACAATTATTTTTTAAATGTTATTTAGATGAACTATAAAACTAAAATTTTATTAGAATTAGTTTCGTTATTAAATTACGCTTCTTTAAATTAACAGAATTTACTTCAAATGACGAATTTCCGCCTCGCGTCGCGTTTACGTCACATACTTTAGTCTTATATCCTTCGCCGCGTGAGTGTAAGAGGCAACTAGAAATTTTACAAAAAATTAAGTGGGTACAATAGAAAGTTTTTTGTTAGTTTTTATACAAATGGTAAGTAATTACACTGTTTTAAAATTTAATTCCTTATATTTTGCTTTGTAACAATTTCATATATTTTATAAAATTGCCATTTCAAATACTGTGTCGTTCACGTATCACTATATTTAATAGCCAGAATTAACTGAAAAGTAAATAAAAAGTGTGAGTTATCACAATAAATCATGTAATAAACACAAATTTTCATATCCCGCAGAGTCCAATGCGCGAAAATTACGTTTTATGTTATAATTTCGATATATAGTGAACATTATGGCGAAGTTGTTTTCAACAATAACTAAAAATAAAAATGTGAATGTGAAGCACCAGCTTTCAAATAAAAAAAGAATCATCGAAATCAGTTCACCCAGAAGGTTATGAGGTAACACACATAAAAAAACACAGTCGACTTCCTTCTCCTGTTTGAAGTCGTTAGAAAAATGGCGTTGCTCAAAGATAGCGTAATAAAGTATATACTTTATTACGCTATCTTACAGATGTACAAGTATATACCTGTGATTTAATTTTTTTTGAGGCTTCTACTGAGTTTATCGATATAATTATATTATATATTTCTTTTCTTTATGAAAATCAAGTGTTTCTATGTCCTTGTTTCTTTCTTCATAATATTTATTCGATTTAACATATATATATGTATATATATTGAATTTTAACATAATATAGCGATTCGTTAGATTTGCCTTAGTTGTAAAAGTGAAATAATATTTACTTTTTTTTCTTTTCAGTAGAATTGTTTGGTTTTGTTATTTAATATTGTTTTAACCATTGAACTTGTTTACGCAACTTTTGTTTAATAAATTGTTTGATGCTGTTTGATGACTTTTTTACAAATAATTGTTTACCACCGGCGGATTTTCCGGACCGATACGACTTAGGGACCTTCAAGAAAAGAGCTTACACCTTTCTAAACGGCCGGCAACGCATCTGCAATTCCCCTGGTGTTGCGGTTGTTCATGGGCGGCGGTAGTCACTTACCATCAGGTGAGCCGCATGCTCGTTTGCCCCCTCTTCTATAAAAAAAAAAAAAACACAAAAATATTTTTTTAAATAATATAATTAATCCCTCCCTCTCCTTACAGTTTCATTCCACTGCTGGTGATGGACCGTTACATCCTATAAAAACCCCCAATGAACATAGGCCTCCACTATATTCCTCATAGAGGGTATACTTGTCATAGTTGCCACGTTCTGTTCCACGGTACACGTACCTTGTTGTATTGAACAGTGGATCAGTCGCCTCTTACGAAACCCACGGAATAGTATGAATATTCATACACCGCCACTACACAGTAATTGATAATTTCTCGAAACATTTCATTTATCGACAAATCGTCTTGCTATCGTCGTCACTCTAGCGCTCACTTGACCTTCATATAAATAATTCGATATTTTAATTGTTGATAATTTTTTATTTTTGGATATGAACATAGTAATGACTCTAAGTTATTTTTACCATTTTTTAAAAAAATCGTCTGGCCTGACCTACTATACTCTTTGGCTTGACCATAGTTCTAACTAAATATGTCCAATAAAATGTCAAGGTCTGAGTTAAGTAAAAGTTTTATATTGCTTGATATACCTACCATTACCAACGTCATCGATTGTCTGCTGGCTCGAGCTGTCGTTAACATCTTCCAAAAACTTCATAATGTGATGTAGATTGACACTTAGTTTTGAAACAATTTATTTTTAAGTTCATTTTTTAATTTACTTGACACTTGCAAAAGTACAACCATACAAGTCCATTACCACAGATAAAAAATACAAAATCGTTGTTTTTACGGCGCGAATGAATAGTAAATACCTAAAATGAATGCTCCGTGGCGCGGTGGTTTAGTAATGAGTTGCAGCGCTGAGGGCCGTAAGTTCGAATCCTGCACGGAACAAGTATTTGTATGGCCTACAAATAATTGTTCAGGGTCTGGATGTGTTCTTGTGCAATTTATGTTTGTAAAAAGCCTCCACGATACAGGAGAAAATCTTAGTGGGGGTCTCGTTTAAAAAAAAAAAGAAAAACAAAGAAAAGAATGGCACAGTTCATGAAGTCACTAAGTCCTATTTTTCTGTTTTGGAATTTTTGCACATAAACTTTGATTTTGGTCTTTGAAACAATAATGCAAGTTGTTGTCAAAGAAAACCGTTAACGGGAGTTCTTAAAAATAACGTCTGATAATCTAAAATATTTAATGTGGAAGAAAAGTACTTAACATACGGTTGGACTTAGAACAAAACCTTTTGGACTTAGGGATTTTCAGTTGGACTTGGGAATTATAGTAAAAAAAATTAGGACATTCTTTTTCATTATTCAAGATCAGTCTAATTAGTAAAATAGCATAGACTAGACTTGCAAGGAATAGTATATTTGGCCACACGCCGAATAACGAATATTCTGTAGACTTCCTGGCCGAATATTAGGCAAAAGTATTTGGCCAGGAAGTAAGTGTTTATTCTTCAGAATGTCTATTCTGTGAAGATGGGATTATCTACGAGAAGAAAAGGAGTAAACTACTGCCTGAAAATGAAGAAAAATTTGTCTTTCTGCACCATGATCACTTTTATTATGATAATTCAAGTACTTATGTAGATACATATCTATGAGGGGCGTTCAATGTATTCTCGGTATTATGGTAATATTGTGGGTATAATAAAAAAAAAATCATTAGCTAATGACACTACCTGAGGGTATAAATATGAAATGTCATCTATATCGAATGAGCTTGCAGCTTTTTTACGTTAGTATTAGTATTCTTTAAATATATAGTGTTAATGTAATCATAAGATCGATTTATTTTAGCTGCTAAATGTGACCTAATAAAATTGTATATTTTTAAAATAATGATATTATAAATGAAACGCAAATAATTGGAAGAAATCTTTATTTGATTTAAAATCTCTTGGCCTTCATAACCCGCCCCGTGCCAGGGCCTACCGCCCCCGCTGGCCGAACGCCGCGACGTTGCGAGTCGCGAGACATCCGATGGTTTGCTGCCCATCATGCACTTTGTACGCAACGAATTGACAACCTAATTCTATTAACATGCATAACTTCTCTAAATTACATATTAGACTACATCGACACCCTACGATATAATTTATATGAGCTCTTATAAAGAACTTTTAACACCAATAAGTCCTAAATCTGAACTTTTCATAGAATCGCTTCTTAAAATACAAAGTTTTTTTTTTTTATTTTTCTGTTATATTTAATATTAAAACATTTTTGTCATCACAAGCTACAAAATCTAATTTATTAAATTACAATCAGCTATTACGTAAGTTATCTGAATGTCAGTTAACTATCTATTTAGTAAAATTCGAATAAAATGTCAATTCGCTGCAAACCGCTTTGTCAAAAAGAGATACAGCACATGTCAACAAATCTATCAAACTAAGGTTTTTTTTTATCTATATATCACTTAAGGATCACGTTTATTGGAATGGAACAGTTACATCACATTTACGACATCTCGCACTAATTCGTTTATTTACAATCGATAATTATTAATTTGTACAATACATTCGCCTGTAGACCGGAGAAGGATATAGAAAAGTATTGTCAGACCACTCGTGCTTCTCTACTTTTAAGACTGGTGTGAGATGAAGAGTAAAAAAGTGTACTTCTCGAATCTACAGTGGGTGAGCGATAACATCGGCACAACACGGTATGGGGTTGCATTTACAGTGAGACCGAGTAGTGCGACGTTGATCGTGTTATATCGCTGTGATTCCGCAGCATAGTAGCGACGGTACCACAGCGCGTTTGAAGCGATTCCATAGCGTTTGTTGTATAACGTACCGCTCCCGTAGTGCGGTGTATTTTCTATTTTTAGTGACACGGAGTGTTTGTGCAGTATATACGCAGCGCGACTGAGCGCGTCCACAGTACACTCGCAGCGTTTTGCGACAAGAACGCAACGGTTCTACAGCGCGTTTGAAGTGATTCCGCAGCGTTTGTTGTATAAAGCAGTGCTTCTAAGGCGCGGCGCAATTTTTGTGTTTGTGGTGAGACGGAGCGTATGTGCGGTATGTACGCAACGGTACCACGGCGAGTTGAAGCGATTGCGTAGCGTTTGTTGTATAAGTGGTGGTCTTGCAGTGCAACGCGACTGCTGTAGTGTATATCTGCGGTGAGACGGAGCGTGTCCACAATACAGACGGAGACAGTGGCGCTTGTGTAGTGTATACGCAGTGCGACAGAACGCGTATGCAGTACAGTCGACGGTTTGGCTGCGTGGGCACGCATCCGCAGTATAGTCGCGCCTTGAACGCTACGGTACTGCTGCGTGGGCGCGCAGTGAGACTGAGTGGTTCTTTAGCGAGTTGAAGTGATTCCGTAGCGTTTGTTGTATAACGTAGCGCCCTCTTTGTGCGGTGCACAAGTTGTGTAGAGTGTTGAGACGGGGCGTGTGCGTAGTACAGCCGCAGCGCGGTCGCGACGTGAACGCGAGAGCAGCGCTGCGCGCGCAGCAGACGGGGCAGCGCTGCGCGGTCAGGCGCGGCGGCAGGGCAGCAGGCGCGCGAGCGTGCGCAGCAGCGGCGCGGCGCGGCGGCGGGGCGGCGCGGCGGCGCGCCCTCAGCTCGGGAACTTGTTGTACAGCGCGTAGTGCAGCTCGTAGCCCGAGAAGCGGCAGTACTGCGCCTCCTTCTGCTCGTAGCCGCACAGCGCCGAGAACTGCTTCAGCTGCCGGGTCGCCGCGGCGCCCGGCGCGTCCTGACGACCAAACACATTCGTTATAAATACAATCGCGTACAAAACGTGATATAACCTTTTGAAACTGAGGCCGACTGCCACCGTAACGTCTTTCAACGTCTTTTCTCTTCTTTAACATGATTTCCTTCCTTATTTAAGAAACGTTACCGCCCCACTAGGATCTTTCTTCTGTATCGTGGGGGCAGTACACGTACATAAATTTCACAATGACAAACAATCAGACCTGACACAATAATTTGTAAGCCATACAAATACTTGTTCCGTGCAGAATTCAAACTCGCGACCCTTAGCACTGTAACTCATTGCCAAGCTGCGGAGCCCTAATAATTTTAATGTTTATACTTCAATAAGAATTACATGCAGTCTGTACTGAATTCAAATCATCATTTTCTATTCACTCGATAGCCTTTTTCCCCCCATCGGTAGTCAGTTCTACAAGCTATATGACCGACCCATTGCCACTGCAACTTAGCATCACAACCTATTAAACTCTACTGCTGAACCTAGACCTACACAATAGCAGTTCTTTTTGCCCTTTGTCGCCTCTTAAGACACTCACGAGACGATATGGGGTAGTAGATATTCTTAAACCCCCATTACACGATCGTTTGTATAATAGGTGTCGAATTACTAAAAAATTTAGTTAGATAAAAATAAAATTCTTCAATTTTAAGGTTTTCATGGAAGAAGTATATTAATAATTTAGTTGGCTTAAGACCGTGTTCGTAGCGTTTCTTGTGGGAAGGAAATAATGTAATATAATGATGATGATGATAATGATGACGGTTGTATTAGTAATGCATTGCGTGTTTATGGGCGAGGGGTGGAATGTAATATGATAATGATGATGGTGACGATTGTATTGGTTATTAGTTGCGTGTTTACGAGAGAGGGATGTAATGTAATATAATGATTATGATGATGATGACGGTTGCATTGATAGCTAATTGCGTGTTTATGGGGGAGGGATATAATATAATAATGATGATGGTGGTGGTCTGTGGTGGTGGTGATAGTGGTGACAACGATAGTATTGGTAATTGATCGCGTGCATATGTTACGAGAGAAGTAATGTAATGGTGTGGCGATGGTGTCAGTAGTGGGTGCGGCGCGTACGGAGCGTACGGAGCGTACGGAGCGTACCGGCGAGGCGAAGACGGTGAGCACGAAGCGCTGCGGGCGGAAGGCGGCGAGCACGCGCGCGAGCAGCGCGTCGTACTCGCGCACCGCCACGTTGGACTCGAACGACACGTACGAGCACGACCGCTCCGGCGTGATGTGGATCGTCATGTAGCTGCCCTGCACAGTGCACACACACAACGCACCATTACAAACATCCTCCCACATTACTATAACCAATCCCTATCACATTATTTACACACATCCCGGCTTGACTGGGATAGAATGCCAAAAGTTATTATTAAGTCAGTCCTTTACAATCCTTTTTTACCACACTTTAATTAACTTGCTTTCTTGTATGTCTGTTTAGATCGAATTTAGTAACTGATTTCAAACCAACGCCCTTTGCGCTAGAGACTTAAAATATTGAACATAGCTCAGAATCTGATGCCAATGTAAATATATGAAGAAAGAAAACATGACAGGTAGTAAACATTTTTAATAAAAAAAATTTTAATTTCCATTATTATTAAGGTGTTTTAGAATAAAGTAAAAAAAAATAAATAAGCCCTTGACGCCGATTTCAGTCAGCCCGGATAAATCTACTGCTGAACATGGGCCTGATAAAAGCATCTACCTTCATCGTCACATTTAGTAGGGTGATGTGTGATGCTGCACCACACGTCACTTTTGACACAGCTCATCGCCAGTCTTGAGTATTTTACATAAGAGAAGATATAATTTAAAAGAAGAAGAAGAGTATTTTACATCTGTCCTAAAAGAGATGGTTACACTTCCATCCATCGGTAGTTACCAGATTTCACACTCGTGAGACGAGATATGGAGATCATATCTTATGACAAATACAAGAAATTTTTAAAATTATAACAACGACAAAAATCCCTTTTTATGAAGTCCCATTTCCAGGAATGAATAAATATTGTGGTATAAATTACGCCAAATAAAATTATGTAAATTTAAGGCAATGTTTTGAATTCTATAACTCTCTTAAAATAACTAAAAACCATTTAAATCAATATGTTATTATAAAACGAAGTTGACAAGTAAATATTGTGCTTATTTGAGAGGATAAAAACTGAACTTTGGCAAATATTAATAACGCTAATTTGAAAATCGATAAAAATTTGAAAATTAATATGAAAACTTACTGATGGCAAATCTTTATCTCCCTTCGGTAGCATAAAATAGAAGTAAAAATATATTAGTATATTATTTCATTGTGATTTTTCATAATAGTAAGAAAACAACCCATACAAGCCTTAGAAGAGAAAGAAGTTTTGCTACCTTAAATTTATTTATATTGCTTTTTTTTAAATTAATCATTATTAATATATTTTTAATTTTGCACTGACTGCAGTAATGTACGTATCTGCTGCCAATGTTTGACACTAACTTCGAATGTAGTCTGTTGTATGTAAGCAAAATATGTTATTGGGCTATGTCGTTGGGGCCAATGTTTGACACTCCCAAACATCTGTTATTAAAACCTAACAAGCGCACTGTACCAGAGAGTTTATTGTAATCCTTTTCAATGTTATGGTATTTCTATTATTTGTCAGTTGAGAGTCAATAGAGAGAGCATCTGTGCTTGCGCATATACTTGTGCACTATAATCCTAATCCTACCCTGCGCTCATTTCTAGTCTTCATTGAAGACTGGCCGCCGTGACCGAAATTCGATCTGGAGGACATTATTAAGTGGCGAAGCTTGCGAAGTCACTTATTGATTTCACGATGTCTGTCCGTCTGTCCCACGATTATCTCGAGAACGGTTTCGAATTTTCAAATTCTGTTTTCAGCAATCGATTACTGATCACCCAGGCATCTGAACCTCCTATTTTGAAACTGATTGCTCAACGGCAACCGTTAGAAACCGCTACAAAGCTGATTGCTTCGCCACTTTGCTATGCTGTTAGCTTGCTAGGTTTATTATAATGCATTAGTGAATGTAGAGGACAATCTCATATATTAAAAGAAAATGTTCACTCTATAGGATTCCTATTGAGTAATAGCTTTGAGCAATGTGATACGCACATCTTTTGCCACGCCATTCATGGAGTAGCCGCACGGATCAAACAGGTAGTCGTCAATCAACATCCCAGGAATTATCTCATCGATGCCAGATTCCTGAAACAGAGTGATAATTTTTAAACTTATTTTGAAACATTAATATACCTAAGGTTTTCTTTCAATGTTTTGTCTCCATAGAGTTTAAGATTTCTGAAACTACAACATATATCCATTTACTAGTCTCTCACTAGATAGATTGACTACCATCTAATTGCAGGAAGTCGACGGATGCAGGTGGCTTAGGACCGTGTTTGTGGCATTTCTTGTTGCATTCAGCAGTGGACTTATGATGATGATGATGATGATGATGAAACTACAGTCCCATGATGTAGTTATTATAACCCACATTGAATCGATGAAATACATAATTACTACATTCTGTGTACTAAATATCGGGAATTTGTCAATAAAACAAAAAATACAAATTATTCATCTAAATTTATTTTATCGCCTTCAAAGTAGGTCCCATCGCTTGCAATACAACATCTCCAACGCTTCACCCAGTCTTCCATACATTTTTCATAGGCTATTTGCGGTATGGCCTTTAGCTCATTCAGCGAATTTTTTTTTATGGCTTCTATCGACTCAAAACGTTTTCCTCGCGAAGTGGTAATTTTAACTTGGGAAATAAAAAAAAGTCAGACGGAGGCATATCAGGTGAATACGGTGCTTGGTCGAGAACTTTTGTTGAATTTTTCTTTAAAAGCCTTATACCATTCATAAGCCCTTGTTTTCGATATACACGATTCGCCGTAGGTATTTCGCAACATTTTTAGTGATTCACCACATGAAATATCATTCGAAACACAAAATTTAAGTCACACTCTTTGTTCAACAATATTTTACATTGTAAAAATCGCCGAGAACTCAAAACTATGACCCACAAAAAGTGTAGTTTAAAACAAATTAAATGACAGATCCCGCTCAAACTTTGCGCGCTAAATCAGTACAGTGCTACCAACACGCAGTAAAAAAATTAGAACGACCTCTTTTACGCGGGACTTTTTATTGACATATTCCCGATACTTTTTACACAGAGTTGTATATCTAGTTTTCCTTGGTTTAAGTATGTTTATAGTCTTTGGTCGACAATGGAGACCTCATATTGACACTTTGCCGAGGAAACTTCTAAGGTTAAATTGTAACTGTTGGAAGAAAAATGTCTAGCACAGCAGGAACTTGTTTTTTGACGAAGATATACTGTTTGCTAGCTTGTTAAGCTGGCGCCAGATACAGCTTTAACCATTTGTACACCTGTTTGAAGCTATGTGTGGCACGAGACTTTGAATCAATGTTGAAGTGTGCAAAGAAATGCACTTTGCCAAGGGGTGTCGGTTTTTCGCACATCAAAGCGTTCAAAGTCGACAGTATTCAAATGTTTGCATGGCCTGCCACATCTGTGCAAAGTTCAGTCGCGCGAAGTTTTAAAAATAGGTCCAATCATAAAGACAGTAAAAAAAACAAAGTCGAATAAATGTGATTTGTATGGTCAGTTTTTATCTGAAAATTTAACCCTTGGATGAAGATGACAAACTAGTACTTATGAATGAAATAGATATTCTTGTATTTAAATATTTTATTGTACTATTTTTGCACATGTAATAAATAATGACATGCACTTAAATAAAACAAGCATACTGCATCCACAAAATCGTTGTCCATCTTGTTTGTCGTTTATCAACGTACTGTGGAGAGATGTGTTTGCAAAGCATGTCTGGCAGGGTGCGCCAATAAGTGTTCATCAAGTAAGTCCTTCAAATAAGTATTCAAAATGTTGATGATATCTGGCGCCGGCTTTACTGTAAAGTGTTCAAATGTTTAAAGTATCTGGTGCCGGCTTAAGATAAATAACCTATAACATTAATTCAAAGAAAGTGAAAGTCCACCAATGCACAATTACCTTGGTGGCTTGTGCGGCGTTCTCACTGTGCGCCCTGGTGAAGATGTCCATGACTTCGGGGTCCAGCTCCGACATCAGGATCTCGATGGTCTGGTCTGGCTCGGAAGCCTCACAACCAGAGCTGGCTTCACGGTGCTCCTTTTCTAATGCCGCTACTGTACCTGCGAACATTGCAACACTTCTTTACTTATTATTTAGGTGTACCTGGTGGTAATGAGTGCTTGTAATGTTCCGTTCACCAGATGTCGGGGTAGTTCAGACTGAGGTGAAATTATTTGTTACACAGTATAACGATAAGTAAAAAGTTGTGTTTTAAATAAAAGTTTTTCGGTTTCTAGTGTATATAATATTACGGCCCCCAGCGCACTAGGCTGCGCAGCTAGGCTGCGGCGGCAGAAATATTTCAGCAGCCACTTTTAAACAGCCAATGGACGGCCAGTTGACCATCACTGTATTGTTCTTAAGATAAATCCCATATTGCTTTACGGGTTTCAATTTCGCGAATAAATTTCTCCGTATGGAAAGTTATTTTGTGGTTTCGGAACACAAAATACGTCTGGCTGCTACGACAAGTGCGTGGTGACTGACGGCACTACAGCAGCCACATACATATGCCTACTCGTTGTGGGTGCGCGCAGCCAACCGGCTGCCGTGCAATCAGGCGCGCTTTTATGGCTGCCGCAGCCGGGAGTTCGCGGCTGCTTAGGTGCGCGGGCTCCCATCATATGTTCACCATCGTCATATGTTCGATTGGCTGCCGCAGTCTGACTGCCGCAGCCAGGCTGCCTAGTGCGCGGGGGGCCTACCCCTATACAAAAAAAAACAATGCCGCAAAATATTAAAGAGCAATCTTTAATTTTTTTGCATCTTTTTTAATTCTCTTTTTAGTCATTTAACTTTAGGAATATCTGTGCTTTTTTTTTCATTTTAATCTAATTAATGTAAAATATAACTAATATTTCAGAAAGATGGAATGCCTGTTTATTGCTACCATATATAACAGCCCATAATTGTCTACTGCTAAAATTAGTGGTTACGCAGCGTAACAACTAATTTTATATGTAATATAATATAATATTATTTATATATCAAACCGTTTGGTAGCCGTAGTTATTTCTTATCTTGAGTTTTTATCAGAAAAAATAATCTTTATGGAGGATTCCTAGTGGATATTGCTACACCGCCACTACACGGTAAATTGCTACCATATTATACTGGATTTCTATATCCCTCGAATGGAATACAAAAGTAACAATACTTATTATTCTACCTAGCGTCAGATATTACAGGCTTGACGAAGAAGGTGTTTTAGCAGAAACGTAACTGCAAGCTGACGATTGATCGTTAAAATAATGGATAACGATACGAAAAACTGATTTAATGTTGTGTATTTTAAGTCGATAGTGATATAAGCCGAAGTGTTCGTTTCGGTAACTTGAGCTACTATTGACATCGAATGTTTGAAAAGTTATCGTAAATATTTCCCAAAAACTTCGTCATGAATGCATCCATTCTCGGCAATTGTATTGTTATGAATTATTCATTTCCGAACACCGCCACTAGCGTTAAACAAAACGAATATCTAATAGTAAGTGTTCAAAAGTGATAGGACGAAAAAATAATAGCACGTAAAATGGCGTTATCAGACGTAAAAATGGCGTTATAAGACGGAACAAGGAACTTTAGTAATATGTACGCCGAATTTGACCATATGTACCCCAAATAATATACGTTATAACACGGAACAACGAACTTTAGTAATATATACGCCGAATTTGACTATGTGTACCCCAAATAATATACGTTATAAGACCGAACAATTAACTTTAGTAATATATACGCCGAATTTGACCATATGTACCCCAAATAATATACGTTATAACACGGAACAACGAACTTTAGTAATATATACGCCGAATTTGACTATGTGTACCCCAAATAATATACGTTATAAGACCGAACAATGAACTTTAGTAATATACACGCCGAATTTGACCATATGTACCCCAAATAATATACGTTATAACACGGAACAACGAACTTTAGTAATATATACGCCGAATTTGACAATGTGTACCCCAAATAATATACGTTATAAGACCGAACAATTAACTTTAGTAATATATACGCCGAATTTGACTATGTGTACCCCAAATAATATACGTTATAAGACCGAACAATTAACTTTAGTAATATATACGCCGAATTTGACTATGTGTACCCCAAATAATATACGTTATAAGACCGAACAATTAACTTTAGTAATATATACGCCGAATTTGACTATGTGTACCCCAAATAATATACGTTATAAGACCGAACAATGAACTTTAGTAATATATACGCCGAATTTGACCATATGTACCCCAAATAATATACGTTATAACACGGAACAACGAACTTTAGTAATATATACGCCGAATTTGACAATGTGTACCCCAAATAATATACGTTATAAGACCGAACAATGAACTTTAGTAATATATACGCCGAATTTGACCATATGTACCCCAAATAATATACGTTATAACACGGAACAACGAACTTTAGTAATATATACGCCGAATTTGACTATGTGTACCCCAAATAATATACGTTATAAGACCGAACAATTAACTTTAGTAATATATACGCCGAATTTGACCATATGTACCCCAAATAATATACGTTATAAGACCGAACAATTAACTTTAGTAATATATACGCCGAATTTGACTATGTGTACCCCAAATAATATACGTTATAACACGGAACAATGAACTTTAATAATATACGCCGAAATTTGACCATGTGTGGACGACCTCAAAGAATACAGAAATATTTACAAAAATACAAAAAAAGTAACATTTTCTTAAGAAAATTAACCGTGTCCTAGCAGTGTAAGAATTATCCATCCCATAGGTGTCGTAAGAGGCGTAAAAGGGAAACTGAACCATAAGACAGAAGAGCAGTATCTTATAACAGCTGAATAAAAATAAAAATTAAGACATTTTTGTGTCTTGTGTTGTCACAAGACACAAAAAAAATATAAATGTTTCACTATCTATCTATCTAACTATCAAATTCCATCACTGGGTTTAGTGATGGAATTTGATAGTTTTAAATGATTTGAGAATTAACGCCGCTATAGTTCGACACAGCGTTATCGTGAGCTAGGATCATTTCACATTGGCAGTACATCGCTCGCAACCCTAATCCTAATTGTAACTTTTGTCAAGAGCTATTTTTACACTGTAGCTTCTCTGTAAATAAATGATAACTCTATCTATCTATCAATCAATTATGGATACCTTCCAGCGGCAGCAGCGTGTACAGATACCAGCAGTCCTCCTCCGGTCCCATGATGTAGGCGCGCCCGTCGCCGAAGAACGAATCCAGAAGTTCAACCTGTAGACAGAGCATTCCCATCTTGAGTATTACAATTGTTGATCGAAGATTACAAACATATAAGAACATATTTTTATATATATATATGAGGGGAGGGGAGGGGAGTGGTAAGCAGCTTCCCAGCGTGGGACGCTCGTGGGCGAAAGAGAGTAGCTCGCTGGTCGCGATGCGGGGAATCCGCGTATATCGGTTATCGCGGCAGAGGTTCACGCGACCGGTAGGGTCTAGATGGTTAGATTTAGTGCATGTTACTTCGCTCCGGGGATATGTGAATTTTGCAATATTTAACTTGTTCGGGTGATGCGGAATTACGCACGCACGCGCCGAATAGATATACGGTCTAGGATTCGAACCGCGCCTTCCTTGTTCGAGAGCGTCTCCCGGTTGATTGTCTGGAAATCATTATAATTGTGCCGTCGCGTTAAGTGCCCTTTTTTGTGTGTCGGCTGGTTTGTTAGTTATACGTGTCAACGAGGCGTATTTTGAATACTTTTCGCGGCGTGGTGTTTTGGTGTCGAATGAAGGAACTTAGTTGTGTTTAACGCTGAACCGTATGACTCATTAAGAGATCGCGTTAGTTCCCTATTTATAATTTTGTGATAAGTGAATCCGAATTTTGAACTACTGTCCGTACTGTGTCGGGTATCACGTGTTCGATTCTACGATGAATGTGGAATTAGGCGAGTTTAAGTTAGTTAAATGTACAATGAAGCTAATAGACTGAAATTGTGACAATGAAGAAAGAAATGGTCCAGCAGGCTCCACCGCTGGAGCCTGCTGGAGCGATGCAGCATTGTGGGGCAGCTTGGAACTCGGCCGCTGCTGGTCGCCTAAGCTGGTCCAGGTCTCAGACATTTACACATCACTGAACACTACTTGCCATTCACCTTACACCCACTTACGGCCTGACCGAGCCTTGGTGCGATCTTAGAGTCGGAAACAGGTAAGTACTATATTTTCCTAGCATTCTCCCATATAGTTTAGTATGATAGGAATTCTCCCATGTGGCCATTTGGGCCCGACCCGTGTCTGCCCGTCGAGCAGGCTACTATGGGCCCCAGCCAGGGCGCCCTTTGCAGGGGCAGCTGCGGGCCGTAACAGTAAGATTTTTTAAAAACTTATGATTAAAATTTGAAAGACTCATTATTCTTAAAATTAAAGTATTAGTGTTTTAATACTTTACTATTTGACGTGGTAGAGCCATGCTGCATCTATATTTCTGGTATAGTTGTAACACGAATGGGTCGGCTCGACCGGGGAAGGACCACGTTCTCACAGAATACCAGCGTAAAATAGTAGCTTAATGCTGCTGTGTTTCGTATGGTTTGTGTAGAGAACCGGAGACCCTTTTTACTGGAAACGAGGCATTCCATCTTAGTCCTCATGGGTGACAACGCATCTGCATTTTGATTCGTAATCGAGGATAATGTAGATGTCTATGGGCCACAGAAACCACTTACCATCAGGTGGACTGTGTGCTCGTTTGTCACCCTTATCTAATAAAAAAAAATATTAGAAAATTAAGAATCATTTATCGTCCAAAGGCTCAGTGTCCAAATTTCTACACCATTAATAATTCATAGCTCATCTTCACAATTCAGGCTTAAATTCGTTAATTTTTTATCTTACATAAGATTTTTAATATTCCCCCTGCACCCTTTCGTCAGCAACAGTAAGAAAAAATTGAACCCCCGCCCCTAAGCCTGCTTACGTAATACTTGAACGCCCCTTGTCTCGCCTATCCTTCAATTTCGGTTTGAAGGATAGGAGAATCAGTGCACATTAACAGGTGCACTGCACTCATCGGAGACTAGTTCTTCTACCCTGGACAGGATTATAGTGCACGAGTACGCAAGCACTTGATTCTTTTTGATTTTTCTGACTCCGGGTTGAACCAGTGATTGACTTTTTCATGACGCGGGATTTATATAGTCAAACTAGACGTGTCAACCGTCAATGATTCGTTCATTTAACCCGGATCACCTCAAAGTATTGATGATAGCAATTACATTTTTAAACGTTCTGGATCAAACGATTGACAGGGCTTACGACCAAAAAGTAATAGTAATGTCCGACGACCGACCGGGTCTCTCAGATCACAGAGTAATGTCCTCCAGACCGAATTTCGGTCACGGCCACCAGCCTCAACGGAGACTAGCCATCGGCGTAGGACAAAATTATAGTGCTCAAATGTATGCGCAAGCACAGGTGCACTCTCTATTCCTTTCACTCTCATAGTCCAATGGGACAGTAAACCGACATGACCGGACAGAGATCAGGCGCAGAATCAACGGCTTTGACTTTACGTGCTTTCCGAGGCACGGAGGGGAAACACCGCAAGTTTTCTGACTCCGGGCTGATACTGAAAATTTCCTGCCAGAAAAACTCGGTAATTCACTTTGGCCCCCGATCAGGAATTTATAAAGTCCAACCCCAGCCGGAGTTTATGTGCAAAAACAAATATTATGTATGTGTTGGATTTCTTGTGTGACAGTTATGATTATGGCTCTGCTTAAATACCGATAATAAATTTTCAATGGACATGATGTGATTACAAATATACAACGAGTAATTTTGAACGTAGCAACAACAATTGGCAAATTATTGTTTTAACGAACTTGATAACTGGTTTAAAAATAACCTTGGAGAGATGTTTTGCAATCACGTGGCGACCGTCGTGCCCATTTCGTTGAAATAAAAATCGCGTCACGTGGAATCTATGTTTAAAGTTTCCTTAAATGCTAAGTAGTAATTACATAAGGTCGTAAAATTGCATATTTTATAAGACGTTTAAATGTGTATTATAATTTTTTAAGACTCGGTATCGGTAGCGTAGTGGCTAGGCGTAGAGAGAAAAGAAAAAATATATAGAAATAGTTATTTTTTTTTAAAAATACAAAAATGTTTACAATCAATGGGAATTTACTAAAATTAATTTTCATCTGGATTCAAAAAAGGTTGTCAATACGTCTGTATTTTTTTATGTGTGTTACCTCAAATTTTTTTTAGGTCAACCGATTTTCATGATTCTTTTTTTACTTGAAAGCTGGTGCTTCTCATGTGGTTCCATATAAATTTGATCAAGCTCTGATTAGCAGTTTTTGAGTTATCCTTAATAATGCGTATTGAATTGACTTTGATTATATTGGTGATGTTCTCATTTTATTTATATTGAAGTCGGTTGTACAATGTTTTTTAATGTTACCACTTGTACGTGTTGTGAATAGGGAATGCCAATCCAGCACCCAAAAGATAATCTTGCAAATCCGCAAGATTGAGACCATCAGTCCCGCGGATCCGCAAGATTTGCAGGATTGTACAATATTTTAGAATTATTAGCCCACAACATTATTTTCTAAGTCAGTAAAAGAAACAATAGAATTTACTTAGAAGAAACAAATAGTATAATTAAATTTTGATCAGAAATAATGACAAAAATTTAAATTATGTTTTGTGAATTAAAGTCTGACAAAAATATTAATGAGATTCGGACACTTGCTTCTGAAATTATTTTCGGAGTATACATAAGGTGTTAAAAGTTTCATCTTTTACATTTGATCGAATTTTGCTGCATGTGTAGCCAGCAGCTGAAAATGCGCGTTCAGATTCAACGCTAGTAGACTTAACAAAGTTGTAAGTTGCTTTCAGATACTTCCCTCTGTTTCCTCCACATTCAAAAAGACTAATTTTTCGTTTTATTATAAGATTAAGTGATACCGCCGGCTTTTGAGTAGTTGAAGATGGTGTTTGTGTCCACTTTGTACGAATCATGTGCTCTAATTCCTCTTCTAATGTCAGTTCGCACAAGGTTGCATTAGCAGTTGATGTGGAACGAGATAAAGGTATATTGTCGTCTTCATCCTCGTCTTTAACTTGCTGGATTTGTGATTGTGAGCGAGAACTTGAAGCATAAGCCTCATGGCTGTCGTCTTCATTAGTTTCAGAACTATTTATTAGAAGCCTTTCTAGTAAGCTCACAATTTCCTTTCTTAATTGCGCTTTACTTGGTAAAGAGAATGTGTCTTCATCTCAACCCGACAAAGAACATTTACCGCCACTTTCAATGGCTCTAAAGCACGTTCAATAGCAGTCAAAATGAGCTTACAGTATCTGCGTAGATCGGACCAAAAATTAATATTCAAAAACTGAAGGTAGCCGGGCTAACTATGACATCAGGACGTCAAACACCTCAGTCCCCCCCCCCCACCCCCCCGTGACCACGAGTCCTGAAAAGCACCCGAAACGTCGTGAATTAAAAAGTTAAAGTAAACGCGATAAAATCAGTAAAAATTAGTTTAATTTAATGTGTAGTCTTCGCGTAAATATAAGAAATCATTATAAAAATAAACCGTTTATTTCAATTTAAATCGCATGTCACAAACTACACACGACTGAAATAGTGCAAGCACTAGCAGAGTATAGTATCACGCATCACATTTTGGGGGATGCCCGCCCCGTACAGAGAGAAATTCCCATTCACTCGTCACTCGACTCACACACAGATACGTACTTCGATTTGGGGATTCCCTATTATCGTGTATTCGTGTCGTACATGATGTTATGCGAATTCAGGCTGAAATATAATCTTAAAAAAATAAAATCTTGCAAATCTTGCAGATTCAGCACCTGTTATCCCGCTTTTGTAATCTCGCTAATTTCAAGCGGCATCCCACATTTGCGGGATTGCGGATCCGCGGGATTGCATTCCCTAGTTGTGAACACTTTTGGACTGTCAAACGAAGTAAGAGTAAGAAAAGCTTAAGGTTGAAGAATTTATTTCTACTTACCTATATTTTCTTTAAGTAATTACCTTTACAAAGTACTGTGTGGTGGCGGTGAATGAATATCCACTACCCCATATAATCCTGTGGGTGTCTTAAGAGGCGTCAGAGGGAAATGAAGCCGTAGACGGGGAGCAGTATCTTCCTCAAAATTAGAAAAATGTTGCCAACCTGCCTGCCAAGCGTGACAACTAGTGCAAACATCCGTATAAGGTAATCTATGGGGGAGGCCGATGTTCTGCAATGGACTTCTGATAGACTGTTATGGATGAATGAAATAAATATTTCGCCTTTGAAGCATACAAGTGTTACATAATGATGTAATTTGATTGCACCTACATGCGAGCATGCGACACCGAGTTATTCCGGCTCGAATCAGCACTTCCTTTGCCGTAATCTTTGTGTCTTGTTATAATCTATACTAATAAATAAAATTGAAGTGTCTGTTTTTAATGTCAAAATAACAGCTTTTTACGTATGTAAAAACGTTATGTATAGGTACGGTACTTAAAACAAAAAAAGTTCAATGTTTGTTTCAGCTAATCTCCGAAACAGCTGGATCGATTTTGACGGGTCTTTCACTGACAGATAGGTGATAAGAAGTAATTTAGGCAATTTCCTACAGACTTCAAAACCATTCGACTGTATGTTTTTTTATGTGTGTTACCTCATAACTTTTTACTGGGTGAACGGATTTCGATGATTCTATTTTTATTTGAAAGCTGGTGCTTCACATGTGGTCCCATATAAACATTTTTATTAAGGTCTGACTAATAGTTTTTGAGTTATTCTTAATGATTTATATTGAAGTCGGTTTTACAAAATTTTTAATTTTAAATTATTATTTTAAAAAATGTTAGTAAATTCGGAATCGGCGCAAATGAGTTAAAACCAATAGAATCCAATCGTAATAAATTCCACGCGGGCGAAGTCGCGGGGAACAGCTAGTTATAAATACGATCGTTAAAGTTTATTGTGTATGTGTAAGATTGCAGTCATGTTTCAGTCACATAACTAATCCCCGTGTATTTCTTATAGCGGTTGCGATCTCTACACTTCTCCGTAATCTTTACCGTCACCGGCTATAAAAATCAACTGCTGTTGTACATAGGCCTTCACCATAAATTGTATCATAGGGACGATCTTTACCAGTCACCTCATACGATAAGAAAAGAAATTGGGTGTTGGTTTCTCTTACAAGAAACCTTTAGAATATTTATAAACACATCGTCATCAACAACATTATAAACATCATTATTACAGATCGTCGATAGTCCACTGCTGAAAAAAGGCCATCCCCAAGGAATACCACACAGCTTGTTCCGAAATCACTTACATCCATCGACTTCTTATATCTCTTACAAAGTCGTCACTCCATCTAGTGGGGTTCATTTATACGAACGTAATGTCTTCCAGACCTAATTTCGGTCATGGCGGCTAAACAACTGAGATTTCTAAACTCTTAACGTGGTAGAGCCATGCTGCAGCTATATTAGTAGTATAGTTGTAACACGAATAAGTCGGCTCGACCGGGGAAGGAACACGCTCTCACAGAATACCAGCGTAAAATAGCAGCTTAACACAGCTGTGTTTCGTATGGTGAGTGTAAAGAACCGGAGATCTTTTTACTGGAAAAGAGGCATTCCATCTTAGTCCTCACGGGTGATAACGCATCTGCATTTTGATTCGCAAACGAGGATAGATGTAGATGTTTATGGGCCACAGCAACCATTTACCATCAGGTGGACTGTGTGCTCGTTTGTCAGACAGGATTATAGTGCACAAGTGTATGCGCAAACAAAAGTGCACTCTCTATTCCCTTACTCTTCTAATGGGATGCTTGGAAGCCTTATATACGAACGTGAGAAAGAAAGTCGCTTATGGATAAAAGCGTGACGCATTTTATAACGTCTCTTTAAATACAAAAATAGATGAAATTCACGTGTACACGCCACAACTGTGTAACTACCGACACGTGTTATGAATGATTAATATTTTGTTGACGTTCATTGCAGTTACTACTTATGTAACTTCTGCAGCAATCGACTAGACTGCGGATTAAAGCAACGTTTACTATAATTCTAAAGTCTACGGTACGGCTGTACATCCCAAGAAATGTTCAGCTCGCAAGCATTGTCAAACAGATTTGCCCGTACACTCCACGAAGGGCAGGCGGGTTGGTGAGGGCCTAGTCTATATACGAATGTAGTGTGAGCAACCCAACCGTTAAAAAGAACCTCTTTGTCGTATCTATTAAATTTCAGGGCACTCCTTTTGCTGCCTCAGCTAGCATAGAAATCCTTGGCGTCGACATATCGAATGACGAGCAGTTTCGTGGTCACTTGCAAGGGAAGGCTAAATTGCCCTCTAAAAAGCTTGACGTGCTCAGCAGAGCGAGACAGTATTTCAATGCCGGCACATCGTTCAGATTTATTCCAGCCAACAAATTTCACGAACGTACTTCGTGACAATTCTCACGGTACCACCACTGTGCGCTTTACTAGGAGTTTTCTTGCTCGTACGACCTCTGTGGAACCGTTTACAACTGTCGATTTTTGCGGACTGATAAGACTTAGGGACCTTCAAGACAAAAAGCAGGTGAGCCGCTCGTTTGCCCCCTCATCTATGAAAAAAAACATTCGCCTACACTACCACCAGCCTTTCACATCAAAAAGAACGATGTGATATAAAAAAATATAGGATCTACAACATCCGTCGCTCATAATACAAAACGCAGCAATCATTCTTCTTTATTATTGGAGCACTGATTTTCTTCCCACAGGAAACCTCTTCTTGTTCATGATTTTTTTTTTAGTTGAAAAGGATTAATTTTCTATTTTAGTACAATAAACATAACACTCGTATAAGAAGTCTCTAATTCAAAATATATCCTTTATTATACGAGCAATATATTTAAACATGTTTGTAAGTCGCGTTCTCGAAGACGGCGCTAATGATATTGATAAAATTTAATAATGTAGGGGTTAATAAGGCCGCAAAATCGATGTAGCCGAGCCATTTCTGATAATATTCGTTTTCTCCGAGTTTTCATACACAAAGCAACAAACTTGACTTGTCCGCGTAACATAATTAGTCATTCTAGGCTCTAAACGATTGGATGAAATTTTGTACTTAGATAAAGTTAAACTGTTTCTAGATAGATATTTAAGTTTTTCTAGATAGGTGTTATAAAAAATATTTTTATGATTATTCTAGATGCCATCTCTGAGAAAAATATTTTTTTTTTTATAAAAATGCACTTAAATATAGAGATAGCACATTGAATATAAACAGCTAACGTTATATTCGATAATTCATTTTTCATTACAGCAGTCTATTAAAAATTTACATTTCGGAACATAGGCCTCCCATAGTTTGACATACATAGAGGAAAGTTTGCTATAGTTGCTACGACGGACTGCTTGGACGGCGCGTTGACAACCGCAGTTTATTAGTTATTACCACTAACTTTTTACCATAAGATGTTGCTGCCCATCTCCTGTTTTTGTTTCAGTTTCCCACTGCCGCCTCTTTTGAAACCCACGGGATGATACGTGAGTTATGATGCTGATAGTGAATTTCCCTTCGACGCCAGATATTTTAATTAGTATCTCCTTGTTTCTGTTTTCTATACCTTTTTTTCTATACTGTTTACGTTACGTTTGTGTCAGGCATAGTTATATCAATAAGAAAATACTGATTATTTATAGTAAGTTCTTAGTTCTTAATAATGATGATGATGACTTATGCGAAATTTGTTTTTTTTTTACAGATAACATTATCGCTCCGTCGCAATTTGAACTTTGTTACAAGGGCAGATAGTCACAGTTCCGAGAAACGCAAAAGATAAAAGAACGTGTTTCGTTGTTTACTGATAACAAACAGAATAAGAGTCCATTCTTCTGAAATTATTGGAAGTAGTTATTTATAACCATTCCTCATATTGTATACCGTAATATTTACATTCTTTTATAACGAAATCCTGGACAAAATACAAAGTATGTACAAAGTATATGCAAGTTCAAAATTTATGAAACAAAAATTATATTAAAGGGTTATTATAATATAAAGAAACACAAACATTGATTCTAATAACTCTCAGGAATGAGGTGCTCGCTACCAAGGTATCACAAGATTGTTTATTGTATAACAAAAGAAGAAAAAAGTGAACTGTTCATTAAAAAAAATCTGACTGAGTTTATCGTCAAGAAGCTGATTCGTCCCAGAACCAATGGCAAATTAAATTTAATAATTACTATCGTTAAGTCTTACTATAATAACCGTGTAGCGGCGGCGGCGGTGTAAGAATACCCATTACATCATTTTTTTTATAGGACAGGGTGACAAACAAGCACATAGTCCACCTGCTGTGACCCATAGATATCTACATTTATCCTCAATAAAGAATCAAAATGCAGATGCGTTGTCACCCGTGAGGACTAAGATGGTATGCCTCTTTTCCAGTAAAATGGGTCTCCGGTTCTCTACACTCACCATACGAAACACAGCAGTGTCAAGCTGCCATTTTACGCTGGTTTTCTGTGAGAGCGTGGTCCTTCCCGGTCGAGCCGACCCACTCGTACTACAACTGTACTACAAATATAGCTGCAGCTTGGCTCTACCACGTATAAAATATCGTCCCGTGGTTATCCTAAAAGGCGATAGAGAGATATTGAAACAGGAGATGGATAGCAGCATCTTGCTGATGACAACTCAAAATGATAAAAAAACTACGGTTGCCAACCCGTCCGCCAATCGTGGCAACTATGGCAAAATCCCCACTATGCGGTAACCGTTGCGAGAGGCCTATGTTCAGCAGTAGACTTTTATAGGCATGTTCAGCGGAAGGTTTTGGCAATTTTTTTCGTCTTACTGAAGATTACGACTTAACGAGGTTTTATAGGATAATTTATTTTTACTTGACACTGATAAAAGTGCAACAGTATGAGCCGTTACTAAAGAAAAAAGAAAAGAAAAAAAATGTACAGTTTAGCACCGACCTCAGAGTCGAAGTGGTCGTGCGGCGGCAGCTGGCGGTGCGGGCGGGCGAACTGCCTGCGCGAGTAGAAGACGTTCTGCACGCGCGCGTGGCCGGCCGCGTCGCGCGCCAGCGCCAGCAGCGCGCGCACGCAGCGCAGCGGCGTCGTCGTGCCGCACGTCTTCAGGATCCAGCGCCGCCGCGACACGAACATGCTGCTCTCGCTGTACACACATCACACACACCAACACTATTATTGCTATTTTTCTATACATATAAAATTATTTTACTTTATATGAGACCGAGCCATGCTGCAGCTATGTTATTGTTGTAGCATGCATACGTCGGCTCGATCTCCCACCAGGCGATTGTAGAGAACCGGAGACCCATTTACTAGAAACGTGGCATTCCATCTTAGCCCTAAGGGTTGTAAACTCATCTGCAATTTGATTCTTTATCGAGAATAGATGTGGATTTCTATGGGCTACAGCATCCACTTACCATCAGGTGGACTGTGTGCTTGTTTGTCACCTTATTCTATAAAAAGTTTAAATATAAAAATATATATATAGGTAATTACATTTCATTTAAGTCGTCCAAGTTAACAACGCATTGTGTGTGTCCTTCTTTGTTTGAAGTTGGTTGCACATGTTTGAATAAGCTGCAGTAGCTATTTACCTACTGTTGTATCAGGTGGACTATAACTATAAATACCTTTGTCACTTCAATTTTATAATAGTAATAATAAAAATATATACCTTCCCTATACAAGAGAAATTCGTGCCGAGTAGATAACGTTCAATACAGACTGTATCAAGAGTCCACTGCTAATCATAGGTCTCCACTATAGATTGCTGCATAGGAGAGATATTTGCCATAGTTGTCACGCTTGGCAGGCGGGTTGGCAACCGCAGTTATTTTATTATTTTCAGTTAACGTTTATTTGGTAGAATAAAATATAAAAAAAAGATAAAACTAATGAACGAACTGGGGAAAATGTAACGATTTCCTGATGACCACGTGAACTGTGAAAACGTTCTCTAAAATGGGGCCCGCGATAAGACGTTTATGTAAATTAATGTTCTCCCGCGTTTTTTGTAATAAAGTATTAACTTATCATGATTTTCACGAATAGATGTGCGTGCTTCGTGTAATTATTTCAATCTTTATTGCCGGTTAACAAAAGCCATAGTTAGTCAGAACACGGCATAAGGAATAAGTTAATAGTGCACCGCTGGACTGTTCGCTAAGCAGGTTAGTCGATGATGATGCCCTACTGTTTAATAAAGGCCATGGTATTACAAACATTTGGAAACTCTCAACAGGGCTGTGACGTATGCAATATAGTTGAAGAACTCATTTTTTGGCTAACAGTCCGTCTGGGGTTACCTATTTCTGCCGCCAAACTACAGTGGCGTGCTTCATTCTGGTATGAAGGATAAAATAAGGCACTAAAATTACATACTGCGAAGAATTCCACCTTATTAGTCCTCAGAGTGGACCAGCTTTATTTTTTGAAGTTGGTTGCAGGTGTCTAAAGAAATGAAGACCTTTCTTCTGAAGCCTAACAAAGCATTTCAACTCCGTTTTTAAGGCTGACAATGTATCTATCTACATTTTGATTCTTAATCGAGGATAGATGCATGTGTCTATGAACCACAGCATCCACTCACTATCAGATAAATTGTGTTCGCTTTTCACTATTATATATATCTTTTAAAAATACCATTTCTGCGTCACCGTGGGTGTCTAAGAGTCGACTAAGGGAAACCCGACGAAGAGGTTGTGCCTTTCTACGGGTCAGGCTGACCACCTCGTTTAGTTTTTCTTTCATCAGGACCCCTGTTGGCAAGGGCCTATCCCGTTGTTGGGAGGATTGGCCTTAATTGTCACGCTTGCAACAACAGACGTGAGCTGCTGCCCGTCACAGGTCTAGATATTTCACATCTGGCGTAGAAGGATATTTCCCATAGTTGCCATTTTAACACCCACGGGACGAAATGGTGATTGATTCTCTTATACCCAAACATTCAAATGCTACTCAATTTTAAGAAACCGTAGTCTCGTGCTGTCTCTATCACTAAGTCTAATCGATTTGATAGTGACACCACGAGACTTAATGGCGTCTTAAAATTAAGTAACGTTTAAGTATTTGGTGGTTAGGCTATTACCACACCACAACATTTGATCCATTGACACAATTGAAATAGAGCTGGATTTAGTTTATTAAATGAGCTTTACGTTGTTAATCTGCTAATTAGCGTGTAAATTAAGTTCTAATTACATTCGCGATAACCATTCTTTAATTCCGTTCCAATATCTTAAGTGAACAAATAAATCCGTGCTTGCGACCTCAAGCAATTGGGTCAAATATGTAGAAAAACGATAATTTTATATCGTTGACTACTACCTCTGCACACGACAAAATGGTGTGTTTTTAATACTAGTAGTTGTTAAAGTAGTGCTCATTCCAATTTGGTCAGAAACTATTGTAGAATTCACGCTTTTCACCAGTTTCGGCTTACCTACATGATGCGATGGCGGCTTAAAGATTCATGGTGATTACAGTCAATCTCGTTTACGGGCCGATAAGTAAGGTCATATGAAGAATTTCTGCTACGTGTGCTTATCATTTTGACAAATGCTAAGGAGAGCGTTGGCAGAGCCGGATTAAACCAAGTGGAGGCAGAGGCACAGTGGTGTAGCGAGGGAGGGTGACTAGGTGGCAGATGTGAAAAGATTATAAATTTTCTTTGTCCCACATCATTTCGCGTAATTTAGCATCTGTTGATTTTATTACCCGTTCATCACCATCATTACAGCCTATCAGAAACACACGGTTAAACATACTCGTCCCTCACAGATTCCCACAGAGCACGGTCTGGGCCACCAGAATCCATCGAATCCCTGCATATTTCATCAAATCGTCACTCCATGTATTGGAAGGTCGTCCAACACTGCACTAACGAAATCGATGTCGAGAACCTTTCCTCCCTAGCGGTTATCGGTTCTTATTAAAGGTTACGATTATTTCAGTAGGTGGGAGATCTCCTTTTCCGCATAGGAGAGTCCGTCTGGGTACCACTCGCTAACCTATTTCTGCCGCTAAATAACAAAGCTTGCACTTCTGTATTCCGGTCTGAAGTGTATAAATATTCCATCTCAATTTGTACTTATATTTTTTATTTAAACGTGGTAAAGCCATGCTGCAGCTATATTAGTAGTATAGTTGTAGAACGAATGGGTCGCCTCGACCGGGGAAGGACCACGCTCTAACAGAATACCAGCGTAAAATAGCAGTTTAATGCTGCTGTTTCGTATGGTGAGTGTAGAGAACCGGAGACCCTTTTTACTGGCAAAGAGGCGTTCCATCTTAGTCCTCACGGATGACAGCGCATCTGTATCTTGATACGTAATCGAAGATAGATGTCTATGGGCCACAGCAACCACTTACCATCAGGTGGACTGTGTGCTCGTTTGTCATCCTTATTCAATGAAAAAAGTCCTCACAGATGACAGCATATCTGTAGCCTTCTTTGCTTGAAGTTGTCTGCAGGTGTACATGGATTGCAATGGCCACTTACCATCAAGTAGACTGTACGTTCGTTTGCCACTTCAACTTTATAAAAAAAAGCTTAAACGATAAAAGAGTATTTTTATCAAAGCCTATTCAATAATTATAAATTTTAATCTATTAAGGGCGCAAAGGTTAATTAAAGTTTACACATTATTTAAGATATAATATTTCAAATACGCGTCAAATGCGTATTTACAAAGGTAATTAGTTACATAGATATAATTGTAATTTTATACATTTTCTGCGTGACAGAATACGACAATGATATCCGCATTACAACTAGAGTTAAAGTTACAGCCTATATACGTCCCACTGCTGGGCACAGGCTTCCTCTCATTTATGAGAGAGTTTTAGGCCAAGAAAATTTCTGCCGCGCTGCCCCAATGCGTGTTGGCAAACTTCACATGTCTTCGAAAAATGTTTTTTCTTATTTATCAAACATGCAGATTTGCTCACGATGTTTTCCTTCACCGCCGAGCACGGGGTAAATCAGCACTTAAAATTGCAATTAACAATTTCATTGGTGCCGGCGGGGATCGAACCCATTGCTTGCGTCCTGTGAAACTTAGCACAATTATTTCCTCTGCTGCAGTAACGCGCCAGATACCAGCTAGTTTTATGTATGTGTGCGTGCGTGCGTGCGTGCGTGCGTGCGCGCGCGGCGCGCGCGCGCGTGTGTGTGTGTGTGTGTGTGTGTGTGTGTGAGCGCGCGCGCGTGAGCGTGTGCGTGACCGTGTGTGTGTAATAAATTAATATATCTTCTGCGGAAAAGGTAGTTCTTTTACTAAAACTTTACTCCTACGGTAGGATTACCTTGTGTATCATAGAGGCAGTTAACATACATAAATTGAACGGGGACACACATTCAAATCAGGAACAATTATTTGTAAATCGGGTTTACATCAAGGGAAACAAGAGTTTCCGTATAGGATTCAACCCGAGGCTTTACAGCGCCGCGACCAATCCTTCAATCAATTAAAGTTGGCATAAAATTACTTCGCGTACATCCAGTAATTTTTAGCCAACTTTAATATAATGGACTTCCCCGCAAAATAACGCCTGATTCTATTAATCAATCCTTCAATCGTTAAGCTACGGCGCGCCTTTTACACGTCTACTGCTGAACATAGGCCTCGCTAAGGAAAACCAAAAAGCATGTCTTACCAGGTCGTCACTTCAGCTAGTGGGGGAACAGGCAAAAACGAGAAATTAAACAAACAGCAAACTTTGTGGATACTAAAACAATTAACATTAGATAGCAAAACGTTGACCGTAACTAAAAATACGAAATATTGTTTTAAAATCTGATAAAAGAACATACATTCGACCTTATATTCTGCCGACTTCCAAAAATGAGACGGAACTCAATTCGACGCGTATGTTTTTTTTTTTATGTGTGTTACCTCATAACTGGGTCGTGTATCGTGGTAGACACGCGTGGGTCTACCACTCGTGTCTGCCACGATAAAGTAACAAAGTCATATGAAACTATTTATACAGATTTTTATCCCGTATAATTTTAAACGTTAGTGGTCACGAGGAAGACACCCTCGTAATTATGGGTGCTGTAATGCCCGGAAGGTCGGGAATTTAAAAAGTTATAATATAAAACGCGATAAAATCCGTAAGGTTAGTTCTATTTAATGT